TTGTTTGTCTATCAATGTACACCTATGCTACATCAATAAGTATTCGAAGGATAATGAGCTTTGCAATAAATTGTATTATCTTGTTCTAGTTTTTTTTTTATGACGTAGAAATATAAACTAAAATTCGTGATTCCGAGGAATGACAAGTTTTCGGGCTCAAAACGAAAACCGATTGTTTTGTAATAAATACAATTGTGCAGTTGTTTAAAAGTCGTATAACTATTATGAGCGTGTGATAATAGCTAATTAAAATATTATTCAAAATACATAATAATCAACATTATTACTATTATTATAAGGATCATGTCTATAAATGTTTTCATGGTGGGGGGGGGAGAAGAAAGGAGATTGAACTTGATTACTCAAATCAAGGTGTGGATGTGGACTGAACCTAACCTTATTATTATATTTATAAATTCAGCATATATTATAGGTAGGCATGTTTGGTCGCCTGAAAAAGAGTACGTAGCTCATGTAACAAATTAACAAAAACTGTTTTCAGCATATAACGACATTATGTGTCCTGTTATTAATTCAGAAAAAGGCATAACAGCAGCAGGTATTCAAGACCGTAACAAGAAAAAAATTTTGGGAGGGGGTCCTAATTTTTTTAAATGTAGATATTAAACACTTTTACTAAACCGGACCCCCTCCCCCCCCATAGTTATGGCCTTGCAGCTATTATATTCCTTGGCGTAATAAAATTATAAATAAAACTCGAACGGGATCAGTAATTTGGGCATTTATTTGTTGCCATGATAACGTTTTTAATTATTTATGCACATGAAAAATGTATTATCAGAGAAATATTAGAACAACGAAAATGGTAATCCTAAAGAGACGGTTATCGTGCTTGTCGTTGGTACACAAACATCTAATAATATTATTGTTCGAATATTTTTCATGGGCATACTTGACACTATCATTTATTTTCTATAGAGTCTTTGTATATATATATATATTAATTTTGGTATTTCGTTGTTATCGTGTAAAAAAGAGTGTAAAATCTATGTGGTAAATTTTTGGGCTGCTTTAAGACTACCTACAGAATAAAACATATCAATAACGAAAAAACCCGCGTGTTTTAATGTCAATATTATTGTCATCAGCTACGTGCGGAATATAAAATTAACTAKACGTTAGGACGAACTCACAAGTCGAATCTCACTTACATTCTGTTTCAAAAGTGAACGATATTAATTTTTTCTCGCCTTGAATGCTGCAATTGGCGCATTGAGAACYATGTKATGATCACACCAAACCCGGGAAGTTGGCGATGGGAGATGCGTAGCATTGACCCGACGACCGACTGATTTATCTCTCTCTCTCGACTGAGTATAATATCATAATGCTGTCGAACTCTTTTCCAAACAGGTGATGGACTCACGGTGAAAGCGGTGGTACCTCGGTACAAGGTCCGTGGCGAGACGGCCGTGCTCCGATGCGACTTCGAGCTGGAAGGAGCCCTGCTGTACGCYGTCAAGTGGTACCGCGAAAACGAAGAGTTCTACCGGTACGTGCCCAAGTCGGACCCTCAGAAGACGTCGTACGTGGTGGACGGGATTAAAGTCGACGTAAGTATGTTCTGTAACTATTTCTCCACTCCTCCTCATCTTCACCAGCGCAACCACCACCACCACCACCACCACAGCCCCCAACAAACTCATCCCTTTCGACGCGGTCGTGCGATCATTAAACCGATGTTTTTATAACATATTTATCGTGTTTGTTTGTGCAGCACATGCATTCCAACAGTCGACAGTTAACGTTGAGAGACATAACGTTGAAAACCACAGCTAATTACCGGTGCGAAGTTTCTGCAGAAGCACCGTCGTTTGCTTCCGCACAAGATGGTGGCCGAATGGAAGTTATATGTAAGTATATAGTGATTTATGAAATTTAATCTAATCGAGTGACATCATCCGCAGTAACGTCATTACCGCAGTCACTATATTATTATATTATATATGGTTTAATAAACGAATTTAAATGAATGATCTAATAACGAAGTAAACATCGAACAAWAGGCAACGACGTTTTTATGATTGGTGGCTGGAAACAAATTTGCAGATGAGTTAAAAAAAGTTTATCCACCATTTTATGGAATTAAATAAYATGATATTATTTTTGATTGTGAGCGGACCTATCCATAGTAAATATCAATGATATGAAACTACAAAATTAAATTTAAATTAATTCTTGCAATACATTTTTATCAATTTTCTTCTGCGAGTAGTCAGGCAKGATTAAGGGACATAGTGGACAAGTTGTAGAAAGTAGGACTTTTTTTTATAATAAAAACGTCTTGTTTTGTTCAAGTCTATTCTATTAGTATTCTCCCTCTTCATTTTGTATTATATATAAATATAAATATATATATTTCCTATCATAGTGTAATCACGAAACTATAATCATAGCTTAACCATACTATTATCATAACTTAATAGGCTTTTGA